GCACACACATACACACATACACTCCCTTCTAAACCTGCTGGAGCAGGTCATTGGACTAGAATCAGCAAAGCATCTCTGATTAGATTCTAGCAGTGAATAAAATCTAATCAGAGATGCTTTGCCAATTCTTGTTGATTTGTTTTATTTTTATTTCTTTATTTTATGTTGCTGAATTGCCTTGACATGTGTGTCCCTTCTTGTCCACAACCCAGAAGCTTTTGTTATTCTTTGCAGCTTCTTCCTCGTTCTTACCTTTTTCGAACAATGTTGATGTTTTTTTCAAGCTGTTCATACTGTATGTATTCATTAGGCTCAAACTGGCTCATGGCCACTTTGGACCGTTGGCATAGGAGGGTAGATACATGGTACCTTCGAACTCCTTTACTTAACAGTTGCTAGACACAACAGATAAGAAAGCAGTTAGCTAATATTATTGACAATTAAATTTATACCTTCTGTGTATAAATATATAATTAAACTTCATCAGGACATTAACTTTTTATGAATTAAAAAAGTCTCTGGAGGGGACAGAAAACTGGAAGTACCATTTTTTGAATACTGTATTTATTTATAATGCTATTTTTTATGCTTGTAGCATTCCACTAAGGTGGTTTATTTTTTCATTCAATATCCAACAACATAATGTTAGCATTCTGACATGCAATTTGGCAGATTGAATCTCACTAAACTCAAGGTTGACTCAGCCTTCCATCTTTCCAAGGAAGATTGTTGGGGGCAATATGTTGACTCTGTAAACTGCTTACTCATTTTAATACAACTTGCAAAAATTACTTTCTTATAAATCAGTTTCTATTAACTATAGCAAATATGGCATATTTAGAAATTAATATTAATATTTAAATCACCATATTTCAATTTTTACATGCACAATATACTTAATAATAATTCAAATAACATCTGCCTATCTCAGATCCTCGGGAAGGACTCAATAGGTAGATAAAAATGCAAAATCCAGTCCAAACATCTGACTGACTATGTGATGAACCATACAATAACAATTTATTAAATGTATATGCTGCACAACACCTAACAATTCTAGATGGCTCAAAATTGTTAAAATATTTTTTTTAAAAGATATACAAAAACAGCCCAAGACAGAAGAACAATAGCAACAGAGTACCAGTTTGGTCTAGTGGTGAAGGCTAGAAAGGCTAGAAATTGGGAAACCAAGTTCAGGCCCCACTTTAGCCATGAAAGGGAGATGGATGTCTCTGGACCAATCACTCTCTCAGCCCAATCCACTTTACAGGATTGTTGTTGTGGGGAAAATAGGAGGAAAGTGTGTTGGGTATGTTCGCACCTTAAGGTAATTTGTAAAAAATTCTAAGGGCAGAATATAAATAACTAATAAATAAATACACTCACAAGGCGGGGGAGGAAAGAAGAAAGAAATTATTATCATATCATGTTTATAAGTGACAGAAGAACACTGACCCGCTACTGCAACATTAATATAGGATAGTAGCTCTTTTCAGGGGGTTTTGGTAATTGTGTACAACTCGATAAATCTCTCTTCAGTGCAAAAGCACTGAAGGAACATTTTTCCACACGTGGTGGTCTTGTAAAACTACCCAAAAATTTTGGCAAAAAATCAGAAAATGGTTGGAGGAGATAACTAAAGAACAAATAGACTATAAACCAGAGTTCTTCCTGTTAGGGATCTCTGATAGATATTTATCCAAAAAGACAAAATATGTAATAATCCATATTCTAACTGCGGCTAGATTAGCATTTGCTCAATGTTGGAAATCACCTCATACACCTTCAGAGCAAATGGTTATTCAGAAAATTTGTGAGTGTGCTGAAATGGATAAACTAAGTATAGCGTTAAAAAACAAAGAGTCCTCAACATTTTACGACAACTGGGACTCATGGTATAATTGGCTTACACAGAGACAAATTATGTAAATGATATAAAGTAACTTAAACATAATGGAAAAGAGGAGTAGATTGGATATGACGAAGAGAAATGATCCTTACAGACTGTCACAAAAAGATATCGTTCGTTTTTAATTGTACTTTCGACCCTATTCTCCCTCCCCTTCCCTTCTCCTCTCCCCCTCTATATTTTTTCTCTTCCCCCCAACCGGCCCTTATCCGGTGTGTTAGGCCGGGTGTTTTCTTTCTTTCCCCCCAGCCGTTTTCTTTCTATTTTGTAAATGTACCGTTGATGTGTTTTTAAACTGTAAATTCAATAAAATCTATTTTAAAAAAATCTCTTTTTATGCTTAGGAGATAGGAACAGTCAGTGTGAAGAATTTATTGTTTTGATGCCATTTAATTCAAGTCCAATATGAAAAAGCTATTAATATTTTAATCCAATTTATCCATTAGTAGCATGTTCTGCCAAATTCAGAGGTAAATAAATTGCAACCTTAAAAAAAGGTGGGGGGAGTGCATAAGCGCACCAATGTGCCTACTGTCCCTGTCCGATTGTTTTTTTTTTCTTACATGTATCCATTTCATGTATTCATAACTATGTTTATACTTATATCTGTTATCTTATAATCGCTTGACAAAATAAATAAACAAACAAATAAATAAATTCAGAGGAACTTATTCCCATATAAAGAGGTACTTATTCCAATATAAAAATAGAGTTATATATTTACATAATAAATGTCTGGTTTTCCTAGTCAACTAAAAAGCATGCCTTAGTGGGAGACTGTAAAAAATGATGGATCCAATTATTATATGAATTAGATTGCTTGAGAAATACCTGCTAAAGTATTCTCTTGTTGTATCTCAATAGAAAAATATGCTAAGTATGTTTGAAAAGGCTGTAACTCTATGCATATCAACGCATATTAATAACCCCTTGGTCTAAAATAATGTGCCTTAAAAATTGGAATTTTCTTGCACAAAACAAAGCAATATGCCACACTAACATCTGAACTTTTACTGCAAGCACCGCAATTCATTAGGAGTTCAGAACAGAATCGTTTGAATAGGGCAGGAATTTAATCTAGCTGGCCTAATTATTTCCGGACCATACATGACAGCAAAGCAATATTCAGCATAATGATGTTTGGAATACTTATCGCTCTCACAATGACCTAAATTGCCTCAAAAAGCAGGGCAGGATGCGAGTCACCTTGCCCTCACCTTGGCTGCAAGGGCAGAGAATTACCAGGCAGCCTAGCAATATAAAAAAGAGAGCAAAACCTATTAATGCACATGCCGAGGAGAGAAGTCGGTTTGCCGCTTTGCTACCGAGCAAATATTACTCCACGCGCTCTAGAGAGCTACAAACCAGAGGAACATGCTGACCTACAGAGAGGAAGGCGAATGCTAAAAGCCAAGAGCAGAACAAACAGACCCCCTCCGGCTGCCACCCTCGCCATCAGCTAGATGGGAGGCGCTCGCTTTTTACCTCGGATCTATTAGCAACCCGCTCTACGCCACTTTGCTCACCTGTAACCGACTGACTAGGACATAATACGGCGCCATTTTGTTCACTGACAAAGATGAAGTCGCCTAGTAATAGCGTCACGTACCGACGTTTTGTAACAACGTGCTGATGGGCGGGGCTTTTTAAGGCCGTCATCACGCTTTCCTTTCCAAGAACACTGTCTCCTTGGCCCTGGAAGTTATAATACATGTAGTTCCGAAGGCTTGAAAGATCAACAGGAAACAGTTAAAAAAATTCCGCAGTTGTCAATTATTGTATAAAACATAGAGACCTGAAAAGCAGAGGAACTCATTTCCCCGGTTGGACAGGGTTACTACCGCTTTACATTGAAAATTTTGTATTTATTTCTGTTTCAATCTCTGCCTACATAAAATAAAAGCATTCAAGTGTTATTTTAAATTCAGTCTATTGGTCTCCGATTGCACATGAGCGGGTGAAGAGGGGGGGGGCTTTATCATGAAAAGACTGAATAGTCTTTGAACGTGTATAGCCGGAGCAAAATTTGCAACGAAGCAGCAGAAGGAAAATCTGTTCCAAAGACATAGCAATACTGGCTTATCAGATACTAAAGAGAAATTAAATACCTTATCATGTAATGTGGGAGGGATGATAGGATAAGTGAAAGTCTAGAATCTAAAATTACATATTTATGTCACTAGGGAATCAAATGCAGTTAATCTTGCGGCAAGTACAGTTTTATACATAGAAATATTTTACCCTGTGTTCAATGGAGCTTATTCCCTAGTAAGTGGATTGTATTCTTAAAGGCAACCTGATTTAATTATGACAGTCCTGCAATTTGCAATGCAATCTTTTAAGTGCATTAAGTAAAACTACATTGACTGCAATTAACGTCAAGAGAAAGAATGCTTGGTACATGAGAGAATAGACACGTTATTGTGCAGAATTTGCCAACCGCTTGTGTTATGATGTTAAAGTTATAAAAGTATGTGGTATTAGTTGTCATTGCACAAATAAGTCTTTGTGGATGCCTCTAAAATGGTCAGAAAGGTTTTGAAGGCTGCACATGAAGAATCCTGCAATTAAGCGTTAGATGTGGAACTGCTATAGAATCCGATTCCCCCTCACCACCCAAGCTTTTTTAGGATTAAATAAAAAGTAATTCACTTAGACCTTTCAAGGCAAACCTACCCTTTAACTGCATGCTGGCTCCTAAAACTACGAATTACATGTCCATACTTCGTTCTTTATTCCTTTCAAATGTTTAAACGCTTTTAAAAATGCTTGTTTAGATGCACGATTACTTGCACTTAATATCAACTGCATCTTATAATTCTTACAAATTAAAAAAAAAGGTTCTGACTACCCCTTTCGAGTCTTTTACATGAATCCATCTACAATACAGGGTAACTATACCACCAATGCCGGTATATGTAAGGGGCGGGCTTTTTCGGGTCCTAGAAGAGAGAGAGAGAGAGAGATACAATTTGATAAGTCAAAACTTTATATTCCCCTTCTTTATCTAAATTGTTAGTTCTACAGTATTTTAAAGTTTGAAGCAAGAGGACGTACTTTTCTTTCGCTAAGAGAGGTAGCCCCTGGTTAATTCGCTGGACTTCTATCGTCCTTTGGGACCTAGAGAGTAGAGGTCACGGGTAAAACGTCGTTAACAACGGCGCGAGACGAGAACCTGAGGTGATGGCTAAACATCATCCAGATTTAATCTTCTGCCGCAAGCAGGCCGGAGTGGGTGCGTAGTCCGTTACAGAGAGGTCGAGTATTACTCTGCAGCCCATACCGGAAAGAGAGTTTCGTTTAAAAGATGGCGGGCGGGCGGGCAGGCGGGCCGGAGAAAAGTAATGATAAACCATGCATGGTAGCCATTCAAGTTGATTTCAGCTATTCGTCCCCAGCCAACATGCTGGGTAGTTCTGCTGTGTTTAATGGCATGTGCTATATAGCTAAAAGCTTTTTGTAAGTCGGGCGGCTGTACAAATTTGATTAGTAATAAAAATTATTATTTGTAATATTAAAATGGGTGAGTTTAGGCCAATCACTTTCTCAACAACCTCACAGGGTGATGGTTGTGGGAAAAATAGGGAGTATTATGTATGTTCGCTATCTTGAGATACTTATAAATTAATAAAAGTGAGGTAGAAAAACCATCACCCATTTTTCAGGATCAATGGCTCCAACGTGTAAAAATAAAGTGCCCCAAATGGGCAAACTGAAGAATTTGAGAGTAGTAAGGCTGGACAAGACTGCAGTATAATGATAAAGGGAATGTCCGAAATTTGAGCATTCTGAAATTGTTCCATTGTATTATGTTAGAATTCTCTTTGAAGTCTTTTGCAATCGAATATGTAGGATTTCTGAGGAACGTGTGATGAAAGTGGATGGCAGGCACTGAAATGAAGGAGGAAAATGAATTGAGCCAGAATTTTATTTTTTTTTAACTGGCACTTGGAAAACCTGTCTGCTTTCCTTTTTCAGAGTGGACTGGAAGGTTGATAAGCAATGACTGGGTTGGACAATAGATTAAGTAGAGTGTTACAAAGATTATGCCCTTTTATTTGTATATCATTGTTATATCTTAATATCCTAGGCCAGATACCCATTCTTTCTTACATTTTCCCAAAAAGCGTATATCAAGAGATTCCCTAACTTCTGACAACTCAATCCAACAGAATTTTATTTATTTATTTATTTAATTTATATTGCCGCCTATTCGCCCATGGCGACTAGGGGCGGTTTACACAATGTAAAACCATATTTAAAACAAAAAATAAAAACAATAAAAACTAACAAAAAGAATCAAATTAGTAAAGTACAATAGAACAAAATGTGGGAAAACAAAAACAAAACAAAAAACCAATTAAAATCTAACCATTGGGAAAGTAGTAGAATCTTTGTACATCCAATTAATTATGATTATTCAATAAACACTTAGATAGCATGATATGTAACATGGATCAGTTAAGGAATATTCAAATACAAGATTTTTATTCATATACATATGTTTTTTTTTAATAGTTCACTATTGATTTTCTTCAGTAGCATATTAAGGAGAACATTTTTACTGACTATTTTAGATGGATATAGAAAAAAACCTTTTCATTTTTTTTTTTTTGCTGGCAACAGGATCCTCTAATCTACAGTTGTGAAATTCTGGCCTCTCTGTTAGGAAGCTGAGCAATAAAGTTATGTGTCTAGATGCTACTGGTGATGTGTGAAAAACTGGCATTATATAGAATCCCTAGGAAATCTATAGAATGCTTGTTGCACCAATGAAAGCTAGAATGGCATTTTAGCAGGAGTATTTTATACTTTGCCGGTTTGCCTTTTGGCATTGCATAGAATGTTTAGGAAATGTGTGAAATATGAAGCACTTCATACTTCAACATTCCGTTTTTAGCATTCTATAGATTTCCTAGGCATTCTATAATAAACACCTAATTTCATACATTGACAGTAATATAAACATATGAGCAGTGTGCTGGCCTAGTGGTGAAGACACTTGCCTCCCACTTGAAAGGTTTTAGAGTTCACTCCTAGATAGTGGCAAACATTTTTCTCTGCGATCACGAACTTAGCAACTGGCATGTATTTATGATGGTTGCAGTGTCCCAGGATCACATGATCACCTTTTGTGTTCTTCTGACAAGCAAAGTCAACACGGAAGCCAGATTCACTCAACAACCAAGTTACTAACTTAAATAACTGCAATGATTCACTTAACAACTATGGCAGGAAAGATATAAAATCATTAACTGAAATATCATTAACTTTCTTAATAACAGAAATTTGGGGCTCTATTGTGATCATAATTTGAGGATTACCTGTATGTCATTACCAACCTGTGACTTAGTGAAACATAAACCTTCGGTACTGTCTTTAAAAACTATGATTATCTTACTTCACATATGCATGAATATTAGCAAAATAAAGGGAATACATAATATTTAAATTGGTGGTTTGTTTTGATCTCAATATTAATATGACTTTATTTTTTGCTGTTGCAGCTATTGGGAGACTATGTGAAAAATGTAAGTACAGCTTCATACATATTTGTTGTGAATTCATGCCAGATTCTTTCACTTTGACTAAAATATCAATATCTTTATTCTGTGAATATAATAAATTTCTTGGAATAGTTTAAGATAAAATCATTAGTGTTCTTAAAACTTTGAATTTCATTTCCAAAAGCTGTTTTGATGCATGCAGAGGTGCAGTGAAATTCTATTTGCCAATTTTGAAAACAATTCTGGGATCATTTGGCATCTGCAAGAGGTCCAGTTGCCTAAAGCTCTATTTTTATGTGCAGGTAAATTCTATTATGTGGATACTCTTTGGAACTAAATTTCATATATATAGCTGTATTATTGCACTTTGAATAGACTTGCAACATACCTGACCAGCAATTCCTTCAACCTAAATCAGGAAACTTTGTTGATTTGGTATTGTGTGTCTAAAAAGCTAGATAGTTAAAATATGAGAGTAGCCAAAAAAATTTATAATTTGAAAATAAAATATTAGAAAGAATGAAATATAACAGATAACAGATAATCAGAGTTGGAAGGAACCTTGTAGGTCATCTAGTCCAATCCCCCCGCCCAAGTGGGAGACCCTACACTATTTCTGACAAATGGCAGTCCAATCTCTTCTTGAAAGTCTCAAGTGATGGCACTCCCACAGCTTCCGAGGGCAAGTTGTTCCATTGGTTGATTGTTCTCACTGTCAGAAAGTTTATCCTTATTTCCAGGTTAAATCTCTCCTGGTTCAGTTTCCATCCATTATTCCTTGTCTAGCCTGCAGGCGCTTTAGAAAATAGCTTGATTCCTTCCTCTCTGTGGCAGCCCCTCAAATATTGGAAGACTGCTATCATGTCTCCCCTGGTCTTTCTCTTTACTAGACAAGCCAAGCCCAGTTCCTGTAACCATTCTTTGTATGTTTTCGTCTCCAGTCCCCTAATCATCCTGGTTGCTCTTCTCTGTACTTTTTCTAGAGTCTCAACATCCTTTTTATAATGAGATGAACAAAACTGGATGAAGGGGGAGTGTGACTCTTTAGATAACCTGTCACCAAATACTGAGGGCTTCGGTAGCTCTTTGAATTGAGCCTGAAAATGGTATAGAAAACAATATAGGTGACAAGGTAATAACGTTAAATGAATGTGTCTGCCATTTTCGGTTGATAACTTCCTACCATATTTTAAATCAGCAGATGTTTCTGAATTGTTTTTCAAAGATGTGCCGATACATAATCATAATATGATCAGAAGATAAAGCATAACAAATCTGTGTCTACAAATGTGAGAAGCAACAAAAAGGTCTACAACTTATATGAAAGCTGTTTTATAGCCCCAATCAATAGCTTAGAAATATTTGACTGAATCAGCCCACAGATGTCACTTTTAATATTGTATACAATATCAAATATTTTGCTAGTCCTTTCAGGCAAGCCAGAATACTGTATATGCAACATATTTACCTGAAAGACAACCATAGAAAGACCTCTCTGCAAAGGAAAATTGGGCCAAGAAAGGCTTATAAACATGCACAGAATATCGAATTATTTAATTAGTTCCAGATACTGTAGTTTAAGACATTTATTGTGAAGAATTTTTTAAAATAATGCTGCCAGTGACATGACACAGTTTCCTTGACTCTAAGGTAGGGATAAGTAATACTTCAGTGGATATAGGAGGATGCATTATCATTTAACATTATTTGAATGATAGCCAAAGGTTATCGTCATGATATACTTATGGATAGGTCTGCTATTTCTGTGGTGGTTTGTTTTTAGGTGTGTTAAAACTATTCTCAAAAGTAATATATTTATTTCAACCATCTCTATTTTTTAATTGTTGCTGGCAAATATTGATAGTGAAATTCTAGGTACCAAATGACTTCAAAAAGGGATATAAGGTCTGCATACCATATACAGAGTGCTGAATACTTGCCATTATGAGGCAGAAGCAATAGTGCAAGTTAGTATAGACTAGGAAAATATAGTATTTTTCGTTTATGGATAGAGAAATGTAGTTGTTATACTTCCTCACGATCAATTGTTTCATGCCACACTAATGTAAACGAATAATTTTATTCCTTCTGGAAACTAGAAATTGAATGCTGGTGGTAAGGTTTTGAGCAGAGGAATTAATAGTTTTTCCCATCCAATACAAATGGAACTGAACTGCAAAAAGAAGTCACTTGGTTCTTTCATTAGGAATAAACTTACATGAATTAGGGCACAGATAATAAATGTAACTCTCATCATTGGTAGGTATTTCTAAATCTATTTATGTGGTCCAGTGCTTGTTGTCTTATTTATATTTTACTGCCTTCATTGATGTGTATCATCAAGTTCATTTTCAACTCCTAATCATCACATAGATTTTTCGATAATTGTCTCCAACCTGATGTTTCAGGTCTTCCAACTGCACTCATCGCCACTGTAATGGTGTCTCTTCACCTTGCTGTTGGTCACGCTCTTCTTTCCTTGTGCCTTGAGTGAGAACTCTGGGTTGATTTGTTTGATGATCCATGTGTTTGTTTTTTTGGCTATCTATAGTATTCACTGGAATCTTCTTCAACATCAAAATTAAAAAATGTCAATGCCCTCCTATCCCACTTCAACATTCACTTCCATACTGGGTCACTGGGAGTTTATTGACATGGCCTGCCCAGTACTGTTCTTTAGAGTTATAGAGAGCATGTGTATATCTTTTCCAAGGACTTCATGTCTGCTCTAGTTTGTTGATTGTTGATTCTAAAAGGCAGGTGCTATCCATCACTTCAATACCTTCAGTGATGTGTTTCTAAATTGCTTTGTTGGCATTGCCAAAATGCTACTTGTCCTTTCAGCATTTCTTTTGTGTAAGTGAATAAATAGTTTATAAACTCTTGAGTTTCCACATCCTAAGAAAAATTGTAAGCTTGTATTGACAAAATATTATTTTGGATTGATTCATTCTATTTGTTTATGCCCAAATTTGATAGTGTTTTCTAAAAGAAAGGAAAAGTTTAGAGTTGGTTAAAGAGTATTCTCTCCCCATATGCTACAAAATGGTAGTTTGGTTAAAGATATGATGAAAGTCACTCATATGCCAATTGCTTCTAAATGCAGTCTGTAAATAGTGTAAGGTGATATATTCATATTTTGGATGGTAAAAATCCACTGCAAACACGTTAGGTAGAAGAAAAAAGTCCAGTGACTACCATTCAAATATATTCCCTATGTAATCAATTGGACTACAGCTTCGCTTTGTTTGAATGCTATCTTCTGTATATCAACTCAAGTGAAATATGCATACTTTGGTTTTCAGGTGATGGCAAATGTGTTATCTGTGACTCTTATGTACGGCCTTGTACACTGGTGCGTATCTGTGATGAGTGCAACTATGGCTCTTATCAAGGACGCTGTGTGATATGTGGGGGTCCTGGAGTTTCTGATGCTTATTACTGCAAGGAATGTACTATTCAGGAAAAAGATGTAAGTTTTTTAGAGTTTTTTATTTTTATCCTTTTAAACATATGTACATACATACTGTATATACATACATACAGTGCATTCAGAAAGTATTCAGATCCCCTTCATTTTTGTCAATTTTGTTATGCTTCAGCCTGTTTTTGTAGTTGCTGAAATTCATTAATCTACACTCAGTACCCCATAATGACAAAATGAAAACAGAATTTTAGAAATGTCTGTAAATTTATTTAAAAAAAAAACTGAAATAGCACATTGGCATAAGTATTCAGACTTTTCACTCAATACTTCGTTGAAGCACCTTTGGCAGCAATTACAACCTTGAGTCTTTTGGGGATCTTTTGCCGTTCTTCCTTGCAAATCCTCTGAAGCTCAGTCAGGTTGGATGTCAACTGTTGGTGGACAGCCATTTTCAGGTCCCTCCAGAGATGTTCAATAGGGTTCAAGTCAGGGCTCTGGCTGGGCCACTCTAGGACATTAACAGGGTTGTCCCAAACCACTTTTGCTTTGTCTTGGCTGTGTTGTCATGTTGGAAAGTGAACCTTCAGCCCAGTTTGAGGTCCTCAGAGCTGTGAAACATATTTTCATTAAAGATATCCCTGTACTTTGCTCCATTAAGCTTTCTCTCAATCATGACCAGTTTCCCTGCTGCTAAAAAACACCCCCACAGCATGATGCAGTCACAACCAAGCTTCACTGTTGGGATGATATTGGATGGGTGATTAGCAGTACCTGGTTTCCTCCAGACATAATGTTTAAAGACAAACAATTCGATCTTGATTTCATCAGACCAGAGATACTTGTTCCTCACAGTCTGAGAGTCCTTCAGGTGCTTTTTTGCAAACTCCAAGCAGGCTTTCATGTGTTTTGCACTGAGGAGAGGGTTCCTTCTAGTGGCGCCACTCTGCCATAAAGCCCAGATTGGTGCAGGGCTACAGTGATGGTTGTCCCATCTCTGCACAGGATCTCTGGCGCTCAGTCAGAGTGACCATTGGGTTCTTGGTCACCTCTCTTAGTAAGGCCATCCTCCACTGTTTGCTCCATTTGACTGGCAACCAGCCCTTGGAACAGTCTTGGTTGTGCCAAATGTCTTCCATTTGAGAATTATGGAGGCCACTGTACTCTTAGAACCTTCAGGGCAACAGATATGTATTGTGGCCTTTCCCAGATCTGTGCTTTGCAATAATCCCGTCTCTGAGCTCTGTAGGCAATTCCTCTGACTTCATGGCTTTTCTTCTGCTACAGTATGAAGGCATCAGCAGTGATGCCTTCTATAGAAAGGTATGTGCCTTCCCAAATCATGTCCAATCAATTTAATTTGCCACAGGTTGACTTCAATCAAGATGTAGAAGCATGTCAGCAACAATTAAGAGAAATATGGGGCACCGGAGTTAAATTTTTAAGTGTTTGTTGCAAAGGATGTGATATCCAAATATGTGATATTTTAGTTTTTTCTTTTTAATAAATTTACAGACATTTCTAAAATTCTGTTTTCACTTTGTTACTTGGGGTACTGAGTGTAGATTAATGAGAAAAAAATGAATTTCAAAAACTGTAGAATCCGGGCGCAGCATAACAAAATTGATGAAAGTGAAGGGGATCTGAATACTTTCTGAATGAATATATATATTCTCTCTATACATATAGAGGGGGGGAAGAGAGCATTCTTAAATTATTATTGCTTAATAAAGTGTAAACTTTGTACATTTTAAAGTAATATGTGCCTTTCTTATGTTAAGCTACCTAAAAGTGAGAATACTTCTTATTCAAATTTTCTCAAATTAATATTTGGGCATAATTCTATATCTTATTTATGATTTAGATTATAGGAGATTAGAACTAATTGTTTAAAGAAACTCTCAGTATTATAGCATGCGATGTCATCAAAAGAGTAAAAGAATTGAAATAGAAATGGGTTGGTCACATAGCAAGAAGAACTGATGGCAGGTGGACCAAAGCAATCATAGTATGGATCCCACTTGATACAAAGCATCCACAAAAGAGACTTAAAATAAGATGGATGATGACATTGGCAAATATTATGGACCCAATTGGCAAAAGAAAGCTTAGGACCATATTAGTTGAAAAATTGCAAAAGATTTCTTCATCCTTCAGTGGATAGACAACGGCTAAACTGATGGTGATGATGAGTTGAACATTAGGGTAGCAATTGAATAAGTATAAAGTAGTTTGGAAAATAATTGGAGAGCCTTTGGTCTAGCATTTAAGGCACCAGGCTAAAAAACAGAAGATTCTTGAATTCTATGAAAGGTAGCTGGGTGACCGCTGAGAGCCTGTCACTCTCTTTCAGCCCATGAAGGCTGGCTCAGGTATCAAACGGGTTGGTCAATTCCTATCAAACCAATAGATTGGTACTTATTTGAATGAAAAAAGCAGACCTTGCACATGTAGGGGAAATGATAGGAAGTAATAAAACAGTTGGAAAGATAAGAAAAGAAATGTGTACAAAAATCTTTCCCATTTTAGCAGAAGCCTTTCAAAAGTCAGTCAGATTGAACTAAAGAAATAAAGTATTTCATAAGGTACAATATAATTCCACAAGCATCATGAGTGGGATTTTTTTTTTTAGAAAGTCAGTACATTTGCCATATGCTGTGTCTTACTTTTTAAAAAAGTTGTACTTTGCATATATTATATCCATCCATTTATATCATTATTGGATTTTTCCTCTTTTTGTTGTCTACTCTATGCTTGCTTCATTTTTATTTGTTTGCTGTTGTTTCAAATTCTACATTCCTGAGTTTCAAGATAATGCTATTCAAATAATGCACCTTTTGTATAATTACAGTTGATTGTAGAATTTTATGGAGAAATTGCATTGAAACAAATCCTACCCTTTTGTATTTCTATGCTAATCTCATCAAATTTAGTGGCAGGTCCCTTTTAAGTAAGTGCTTTGTAAGACTGCAGTCTGTAAAGTACTATCTCTTAATTTGATAGTAGAAATAGGACATAATTATCTATAGACAATATGTGGGTTAATAGAGGACAGAAATCTCTCATTCTCACACACACACATATACACTCAAACAAATTTCCCTATTGGAATTGTGATATACAGATACTATGATATTCCTTTTGGAATCTATTAGGCTTAGCTTGTTCTAACTGTTTGTCTTTTGCACCATTCTAGCGAGATGGCTGTCCCAAGATTGTTAATTTGGGGAGTTCAAAAACAGATCTCTTTTATGAACGAAAGAAATATGGCTTCAAGAAAAGATGATCACATCTCCACTGTGGAAGTACTCCTGAAAAATTTTGGACTTCATTTTTATAGGAAAGCAATTAAATGTATTTTGTTTCAATTCTAATAATTTGATGGAAATATTGGTTACTAAAAATTATTCTTGTCATTTTTCAATGAAAAAAATATTGAATTAAATATAATTTGAAATCACTAAGAAGGTAAATTGGAATTCAGACCATAGATCTTGATAGATAGCCCTTTTTTCTGACAGAATACTTTCACTGTATATTAAGTCAAACCCAAGGTTTTCTGAAGAATTTGATTAGGTGTTCTGTCAGTGTTATGGTGGATTATACCCCAATAAAGTTTTATAATAGTCTTCTAGTGGAAATTCTCATATGTACATTTCTTGATCTTGGATTGGGGTGTGTGTGATTGTTATTTGTTAGTAATCAGGGAGATAAATTCAGGCATAAATTGGTAGTTGTAGCTGGTAGTGGTCCATAACAATTAAGGGATATAAACAGTAATCTAGAATTGCTCAGTGACTGAGACAGCATACAAACTGAATAAATCTATAAAGAACAGCATTTGGTATTGCCCTAACTTGTGTTTCTTGCACCAGTACAATATAATCATACCGTAAACAATTTTTTTCTAAGAAAGTCTATCTGCCCTTTGAGATATACTCACTTGCTTATTGCAATGGGGAAATAATATAGTACCTGAAATTCCTGCTGCAAATCATGAAAAGCAGGATTTAAACAGTTGGGTGTGCATCTTTTTAATGTGCAATAGCTGCCCTGTTTAAAAAATCATTCACAAATCCAAAATGTCATCTGTTATCAGCTACCAAATCATAGCCAAATTTTGCATATATGTTGTAGTCCATTTAGAAAAAAGCATATTGTAATTATAGAAACTTAAACCCAAAGATAATAAAACACATATCCACAAATCAGGTTTATGAAAAGAAATAACCTCACGCCCTCCTAATTCTGTTTTCAGGCATTCTTAAGGTTTGTAGTAAGACATAATTTTCAAATGATTTTATTCACTTCCAATGTATTTAATGATTTAAGCATATAAACTCACAATGCAGACTTGTTATTCAAATGGTGTTTTGGAATAGGACATAACTATGTGATTTACTTAACAACTACATGATTAGGCATGATATGGCAGTGAATCAGTTCACGGTATTTTCAGCCTCCCTCAAAACAAATATTTTAACATACCTGTTTAGGAAATAGTAAAGAGAGATTGGGGATCATAAATTATTTTTAATAAACGTTTGGTTCTTAAAATATGCAAATTGCAACCAATTAGGTATTTTTAACACTTATACTAGGAAGAAGTTTATTATTATAATTGGATACCATTTTATTCATAGGGATGTAAATGGAGGAACGTGTACTGTGCAAGGATCTCTCAAGGGGTGGAGCTCCTTTGCAGAGTGTAAATTTTATCATTATCACAATATTCCCTAATGGACTATTACTTCAGTCCAAATGAATGATTAACAATAATCTCTGGTATAATATAAACATAGAAAGCAGGAATGCATCACAAAGTAAGCCAAATTCATTTCTACTCCATTCAACCTGAACCACAATCTTAAGCCCATTTGTATCTATTAACTACCTCTCCTTCCCACGCCCTCATGTTTACCTTCATTTCTTTCACAGAATCGTGATGGCAAACCTACGGCATGCGTGCCAGAAGTTGCATACAGAGCCACTTCTGCTAGCATGCAAGAGGTTGACCGGAAGAGCCCCACTGCGCATGTGCGCTGCCTGCCCAATAGTTGATTGTCGGGTATCTGGCGCACGGGAGACATGCACACATGCACGGGGGTGTGGGGATCCATGCACATTGCCTTCTGGGTGCTGGCATGTGAGCGCACGCAAGTGCAAATTTTCAGCATGGGAGCCCAAAAGGTTAACCACCACTATTATAGAATACAATAATTTTGTGGATTAGCTCTGAAATAGATAACCTATTCTTAAAAAAAATTGTATTTCTCTTGTGTGTACTTTGCAATAAGTAGAAATACATAAAAATACTAAACAGAAGCACCAGTTATCAGATTGTGAAAATCTTGGAACTTTCATTCATCGCTTAATCAATGCATCTGGACTATCTTTAGAAATGTTTCTAGTTTGTTTGGGCTTTAAATCAGGCAAGTGACAAAATATTATTTTTAAAAAAGTGGAGGTATATAGAAACTATTGTCATCTCATCATGAACTAATACTGAACCTAAAAAAATCTGTAGCAAGTTTTAGGCAGCTAGAATTTAGTGCAATGAGATTTCATACAGGTGAAACTCAAAAAATTAGAATATTGTGCAAAAGTTCATTTATTTCAGTAATGCAACTTAAAAGGTGAAACTAATATATGAGATATTACATGCAAAGTAAGATAGTTCAAGCTGTGATGTGTCATAATTGAGATGATTATGGCTTACAGTTCATAAAACCCCAAATCCACAATCTCAGAAAATTAAAATATTGTGAATAGGTTCAATATTCTAGGCTCTAATCAGCTAATTAAGCCATAACACCTGCAAAGGGTTCCTGAGTCTTTAAATGGTCCCTCAGTCTGGTTCAGTAGGAATCACAATCATGGGAAAGACTGTTGACCTGACAGTTGTGCAGAAAACCATCATTGACACTGTTCATAAGGAGGGAAAAACCTCAAAAGGTAATTGCAAAAGAAGTTGGATGTTCCCAAAGTGCTGTATCAAAGCACATTAATAGAAAGTTATGTGGAAGGGAAAAGTGTGGAAGAAAAAGGTGCACAAGCAGCAGGGGTGACCGCAGCCTGGAGAGGATTGTCAGGAAAGGGCCGTTCAAAAGTGCTGGGGACTTTGACAAGGAGTGGACTGAGGCTGGAGTCAGTGCATCAAGAGACACAGACAGATCCTGGACATGGGCTTCAAATATCGTATTCCTCTTGTCAAGCTGCTCCTGAACAACAAACAACATCAGAAGCATTTTACAAAGAAAAACTAAACTGGTCAGTGGTCCAAAGTCCTCTTTTCTGATGAGAGCAACTTTTGCATCTCATTTGGAAACCAAGGATCCAGAGTCTGGAGGAAGAATGGAGAGGCACACACTGCAAGATGCTTGAAGTCCAGTGTGAAGTTTCCACAGTCTGTTGATTTGGGGAGCCATGTCATCTGCTGCTGTTGGTCCACTGTGCTTCATTAAGTCCAGGGTCAACGCAGACATCTACCAGGAGATTTTGGAGCACTTTATGCTTCCTTCCACAGATGAGCTTTATGGGGATGCTAACTTCATTTTCCAGCAGGACTTGGCACCTGCCCACACTGCCAAAACCACCAAAACCTGGTTCAATGACCATGGGATTACTGTGCTTGATTGGCCAGCAAACTCGCCTGACCTGAACCCCATAGAGAATCTATGGGGCATTGCCGAGAGAAAGATGAGAGACATGAGTCCGAACAATGCAGAAGAGCTGAAGACCACTATTGAAGCATCCTGGTCTTCCATAACACCTCAGCAGTGCCACAGGTTGATAGCTTCCATGCCATGCCGCATTGAGACAGTAATTGCTGCAAATGGGACCCAAACCAAATACTGAGTACATATGCATGTGTATACTTTTCAGAGGTCTGATATTGTTCTGTGTACAATCCTTATTTTATTGATTGCATGTAATATTCTAATTTTCTGAGATTGTGGATTTGAGGTTTTCATGAGCTGTAAGCCATAATCAACTCAATTATGACAAATCACAGCTTGAACTATCTTGCTTTGCATGTAATGAGTCTATCTCATATATTAGTTTCACCTTTTAAGTTGCATTACTGAAATAAATGATCTTTTGCCCGATATTCTAATTTTTCGAGTTTCACCTGTAGGTATTATAAAACACACATCAAGGCTACCATGTTTCTTTGGAAGGCAGGGTTGTCAAATACAACCCCACGGGCTGGATGTGTCACGCACTGGCCACACCCTTTGCCAGTATAGCGAAGGAGAAAAAAGTCATATGTCATGTGATGATGCTGTGACAACCTGAGTTTGACACCTCTTGTAGGGCTTTAGTCATAATTCAAAGGGAAGTACCAAATGGAACATGTTAAAATATATGGAAACATGAAAAAGTGATCTGGAGAAAACACAGTTTTGTCAGGTGTCTACTGTAACTAATGGGCTTTTTCAAAACCAAAACTTTTTCTACAGTTCTCATTAATTGCAGTGGCAATATGCAAGACATATTTTGTATACAGTAGGTTCTTTTCTTAATCTATGCTTGTACATACAGGGGTTCTGAACAACTGCCTGAACATTGCAGTATTTGCCCAGAGTCAGACCAAGATGGAATCATAACTATTAAGCTGCGGCTAGAATATCATGAGAGCAGACATGAAAGGATCTATTAGTAATTATCTGAATAATTTAGTCATGTGTCTAATCATCTTTCTGAGTACTGTATATAATGGTTATATGGTTAGCTTAAATTCAGATGCCTTGTCTCATTTGTTTCTAAAATCCTGCCCTACAAAGCATTTTCAGAACAATTGTCTAATGGTTAAATCTAACAAGGGAATGAAGCACTGAATCACCTGAACTATGCAGATGAATATAAAACCTAATGGAATAATTTCTGATTGGAATAATTTCTTGTCCTAGTGAGAACATTTGGTGCTTCTTCTGTTACAATTGGCCATACCTCCATAGGATTACAAATATCGAAATTGCAAGATCCTCCGCAATTAATAACATACTCCTGTTATATTGTATTTTGCATCTCAAAGTGACTTAATGTGCTTCTTGGCACCTTTCATTTGACAGGCAGGAAAAAACTCATTTCCTTTGGGTTTAAATGTCAACTGATGAGAAGAATGATGGATGATAAATGAGTGCTAATTACAGCTAATTATAGACTGACTAATCTTTCCTGGTATTAAAACTACTATGATAGAAGGGTGTTTGTTATTGTTTTCTTTCACATTTTTCTTTTAATTGTTCAGTAGATGTCATTTGATGTGATTACTGAATTTTCTAGACTGCTTTAACCATCTATATTACTTCCATTTTGGGCTGGATTTTTTAAGAAGACAAGTGATTCTGTGTTACTGTTAACATGACTTGATTTAAACTTTTATTAGAAAATTCTTATTGTTTTATACTATTTAGAAATGACTATACTGAAATACTTGTAAATTTCAGGACTAATTATATTGGAATTTTACAGCAGTTTGCTTCAAATAAAAAAGAAATTAACTGATTTATTAATATATAATTGCTTATGAATATATTACGATTTGTCTTCCTAATTATCCTTAACTAGTTCTAATATAAATATAAATATGGTGGACTACTACATAGTGATGAGTTACCTACATGA